AAAACAAAAGTAATAAAAGGAGAGCCCAAGGTCTTCTTTCCAAATTAGTGAAATAACTGCTTCCTTTGTTGTCTTGCTCAAAATGGGTTCTTCCAAAAAAGTAGCTCTGTTCCTTGAATGTTGTTGCTTAATATCTTGTGATGTTGCTGCCTGCACTACTGCTAAAAGGTTGCTGCTGCCCTCTGCTTTGTTGCTGTTCCATGGTTTGTTGCCTTGGACGCCGAGTGTACACTTGAATCCGTTGACCCGTACTTGGATCCATAACAATACCCGCCCCCTCGAGATTCACCTTGTCCTCAAGGTGGAACGCCGGAAACCGATCCAGTATCATCTTGCTATCTTCCCAGGTTGCCTCGAATTCTGGAAGGCCGTGCCACTTGATTAGAACCTCTATACGGACACTTCGACCCAACGGTACCCTCCTGGAATCCATAACTGCCTCAGGCTCCACCACCATCTCCATGTCCTGCGTCAATTGACTCGGAATGGTTGGATTGACTGGAATTGCTCCCACCGGCTTTCTTGAGTTGGGAGATGTGGAAGACCGGATGGATGCGTGAAGTGGTAGGTAGGTCTAGGCGGTAAGCCACCTTGCCCACCCTCTCCATGACTGCGAATGGTCCGTAGTATCGAGCCGCCAATTTCTCATTTGGCCGGATTGCTAGTGATTTCTGGCGGTATGGTTGGAGCTTGAGGAACACCATATCACCCACCTCGAATTGCCCATCCCGCCGCTTCTTATCCGCATACCCCTTCATAATTTGTTGAGCTCGGACGAGATTAACTTTCAATTCATCTAGCATAAAATCCCTTTCTTGCAACTGAACCTCCACCGAGTTGACTGGAGTTTGACCCGTTCCCACCTTCCATAGCCGTGGCGGAGCACGCCCATAGACCACCTGGAAGGGTGTCAATTTGGTGGATGAATGTGGCGAAGTATTATAGGCGTACTCCGCCCAATGTAGCCACGACGCCCAATTTCGTGGCTGGCCGGCGGTGAAACACCGAAGAAACGCCTCTAGGCCTTTGTTCACTACTTCCGTCTGTCCGTCCGTCTGAGGGTGGTAGGACGTACTATGCTTAAGACTGGTGCCCTGCAAACGAAATAATTCCCTCCAAAACCCACTCAGGAAAATCCTATCTCGATCGGAGATGATGGATTTTGGAATTCCATGAAGGCGAACCACTTCCTTCGTAAACACCTCCGCCACCTTAACTGTCGTAAATGGGTGTTTTAGCCCCATAAAGTGAGCATACTTTGAAAGACAATCCACCACTACTAAAATTGAATCTATACCCTTAGACATCGGAAGGCCTCAATGAAATCCATTGACACATCCTCCCAAATCAACTCCGGCACCGGTAGCGGTTGAAGAAGCCCCAACGGTGCCTGTTGCGAGCTCTTGTTTCTTTGGCAAACCTCACAGCGACGGACATACTCACCTATATGCCGGCGCATTCCCACCCAAAACCATTCGGCGGCGATGCGCAGGTAGGTTTTGACCTCTCCTTCGTGGCCACCGGCAGGCGAATCATGATGTTCATGGAGTAGTTTAGGGATGATGGTGGAATTGGGAGGAAGAACAATCCTTCCCTTATATTTAATGAGCCCACCATCATCCTGAAACCCCACTAGCCTTGCTTCCCTTTTTTTTAGGCCCACACGAATTTGGGCCAGCCAACTACAATTCTTGATTTCTTCCTTAAGTAACTCCCAGTCCACTACTTGTGACACAGACAGAGCACTCAATTGTGCTAGGTGATGGTCCCTTCGTGAAAGAGCATCTGCTACCCGGTTGGAAGTTCCGGGCCGATATTGCACCTCAAAATCAAAACCCACTAATTTCCTCATCCATTTCTGATATTCGCTGCCCACCTCCCGTTGTTGAGTAAGATAACGGAGGCTTTGTTGGTCGGTCCTCACAATGAAATGTCGACCAAGAAGATAGTGCCTCCACTTGACAATGACAAGTACTATGGCCATGAGTTCTTTCTCATAAATCGATTTCTCCCTCGCCCTTATGCCAAGTAACTTGCTATAATATGCTATGGGGCGACCCTCTTGCATCATCACCGCTCCAACCCCAAATCCGGAAGCATCCGTCTCAATGATGAATTCTTTGGTGAAATCGGGCATTGCTAGTACGGGGGCCGAGACCATGGCCTTCTTTAGAGCTTCAAAGGCTTTTGTAGCTTCGTCCGTCCACTTGAAGCTATCCTTCTTGAGTTGTGATGTCAAAGGACCGGCAATGTGAGCATAACGGAGTACAAACTTCCGATAGTAACCGGTGAGCCCAAGGAACCCTCGGAGTTCCCTCAAATTTCGGGGCTCCCTCCATTGTAAAATGGCTTCTACCTTCTCTCCATCCATAGCCACTCCCTTCTCCGAAATTACATGTCCCAAGTAAGCCACCTCTTTCCTCCCAAATTCACACTTCTTCAAATTAGCATACAACTCATTCCTAGCTAGCACTTCCAACACTTTCTTCACATGCTCCTTATGTTCTAACTCGTTGCTACTATACACCAAGATATCATCAAAAAACACAAGGACAAATTTCCTCAAAAATGGTCGAAATAGATCATTCATGAGTGATTGGAAGGTGGCCGGGGCATTAGTTAACCCAAATGGCATCACTAAGAACTCATAGTGTCCCTCATGAGTTCGAAAGGCGGTCTTGTAAGTGTCTTCGGGTTTGACCCGAATTTGATGGTAGCCCGATTTCAAGTCAAGTTTCGAGAACATGGTAGCTCCATGCAACTCGTCTAGCAATTCATCGATCACCGGTATGGGATATTTATCGGGAACCGTCTCTTTATTCAAGGCCCGATAGTCCACACAAAACCTCCATGATCCATCTTTCTTCTTGACAAGTAAAACCGGACTACTAAACGGGCTTGTGGAGGGCCTTATGACCCCGGCCTCCAACATTTCCGCTATTAGTTTCTCAATCTCATCCTTTTGAACTTGAGGGTAGCGGTATGGTCGCACACTCACCGGGTTGCTTCCCTCTTTAAGCACTATGGCATGCTCATGCCCTCGGGATGGTGTCATTCCTTGAGGCATGTCAAACACTTCTTGGAACTCATCTACTATCTCCTTCAAGAAGGCCGGAATTTCCCTCATCTTCGGCTCCTCCTTGATTTCCATCCGGTTAATCTCTACTAACATTCCCCCTTTATTCTTGCAAAGGGTTCGAATCATGGCCTTCAAAGACACTCGTGTTTTTTCCAAAGTGGGATCTCCCACCAATTTAACCGGTGACCCGGCTATGAAAAATGCATTTCATGAGTTTTCCAATTGGTAGTGACCGATCCAAGCTTCTCAAGCCATTGCACTCCCAATATCACATCGGCATTTCCCAACATCAAGGGTAAGAAATCCTCTTCAATAGTCACTCCTCCTTCTATTTTCACTTCTACTCTCCTACACACCCCACTTCCATGCACGGTCTCGCCATTACCAAGGGATACCGCGAATTCCCCCTTCCCTTCGATGTTCAATCCCCCCTCATTTACTAACTTCAAAGAGATGAAATTGTGAGTGGCACCCGGGTTAATCATGACTATCACCTTTCTTCCAAGCACTACCCCCTTTAACTTCATGGTCTTTGGGTTAGTCAACCCCACTACCGAGCAAAGTGACACCTCAACTGCCTCCTCCTCATCGCCCTCTCCTTCCGGTTCTTCATCCTCGCCTTCAAGCGAATCCGCCACCATTAATACACTCAGTTCCTTCTTCTTACAACGATGCCCAACTCCCCAACGTTCATCACATCGGAAACACAAGCCTTTGGCCCTTTTGTCTTGCAACTCGGCCTCCGTCAATTTCCGGGTTTCGTTGAGAGTTCGTGAAGGTTGATTGATTGTGGACTTGCTTCCACTAAAGGATCCTTGAGACTCACTGGCCCTGTTCCAATTACGGTTTGGGCCCGAGTGGGGAGGGAGCCCATAAGTGGAAATTAAACCCCCCACGGGTCTGCTTCCTCCTCCCCCTGTAGTCAACTCTGGGCTGCTACTGCTTGCTTTCCACGCACCTCCCTCTCTTCTTCCTCCTCCTCGATTTTTTTCCTCAATTTTCGCTGCTAACTGCATAGCCCTCCCTAGACTCTCAGGCTCCCACATCCGCAATTCTCTCTTGATCTCCTCCTTCAACCCATTGATGAATGAGCTCTTAATTACCTTCGCCGGAATTTCCTTCAACGGAAAAACAAGTTCAATAAACTTGCGCCGATACTCCTCAACTGTGGTGGTTTGCCTTAGAGCTAGCCATTGTTCCTCTAATTCCCCACCTTGCGTCTGCCGGAACTCCGCTAAGAGACGATCTCGGAGATCCTCCCAAGATAGGAAGGCCCGCCGATCTGCTTCCAAGTAGAACCACTGGAGCGCGGCGCCGTCTAACGCCATCTCCACCGCCGCCAGCCTCTCGATTTCAGTGACGCCGTAGAAAGTCGAAATATCTCCGGATTCGCATCACCCAACTGTCCGGATCCTTGCCTTCGAAAATGGGCATCTCCATTCTCCGCGGTCTCCATCCTCCGTCTCCACCCTGCATTTCACCCCACACTGCTCTATTAAACCTCCGGCCATCCGGTGTGCGATCTCCGAATCCTTCTGCCATCTGACTCGTTTCTCCATCGTTCCGAGTTTGATGGTGGGGTCCCCCCTGACCTGCGGTGGCGGTACTGGGGATTATGGGAACGAAATCCCGTCCGTTTGGCTGATTCGGATTTACACGCAACCCCCGTGCATCAAGGGTGGCTAACTGCTCGGTCAGTGCTCTCTGATTTGCAGCCATTTGTTCCACTAGATTGCGTTGGTTCTCCTCTTGCCTGGCTAGGATCGTTTCTATGGCGGTCAGCCTTGACTCCACCTCCGCGCGCTTTTCCTCCAGCTCTTCAATTCTCTGTGTATTGGTGCTCACCATGGTCGCTCACGGTTCGAACCGGCTCTGATACCAATTGGTAGGGACTGACCCTACTGACCAAGCTCAACGACTTCTACGTTGCCTTCTTCCCCTGTAGGTATCAATGACAATGTAATAATGAAAACTTCAGCTAATTAGCTAAGTAATTGAGATTGATTATGTTGTAAAGTTGTGCTGAACCGGGCTTGATTAATCAGTGCGAACGGTACTGAGGATAGATTACAAAACATGACTTGAGGCCATGAGTCTCTGAGTAGCTTTAGGCCACCACTCTCTGTGTTTCCTTACAATTTTCTGGATATCCTCCCCTGCCCCCCTAGCTTAAGATTAAGTACTACCCTTCAATTTCTCATACCTTCCCAAAAGAAATAAAACAAAAGTAATAAAAGGAGAGCCCAAGGTCTTCTTTCCAAATTAGTGAAATAACTGCTTCCTTTGTTGTCTTGCTCAAAATGGGTTCTTCCAAAAAAGTAGCTCTGTTCCTTGAATGTTGTTGCTTAATATCTTGTGATGTTGCTGCCTGCACTACTGCTAAAAGGTTGCTGCTGCCCTCTGCTTTGTTGCTGTTCCATGGTTTGTTGCCTTGGACGCCGAGTGTACACTTGAATCCGTTGACCCGTACTTGGATCCATAACAAATTGGATCAAAACAAGTGTGGTTATACTAATATCATGCACAATTGCACACTAATAAACCTGTATTACTAGGAATAATACCCGATTAGCAACTTAATTATTAAGTACATATTGATTATAGCACACAAGAATAATACTAACCTTGAACCAATGCAGCGAGAGTTTTTCAAGTTGGGAAGACAAACCGGATAGAAAACTCCCGTTGCAAAGTTTAGTAGAATATATCCCTCCGAAAGCAGCATCCACAAGTGATGGAACACTAACGTACTCCAAATCAACGGTAGGAGACTCAATAAATAAAAGAGTAACAAGATTTGGAGCAACAATGTGCAATGATTCAGTATTGAGAAGGCGGGTGCTATGAAAAATCTCCAAGTGTTTGAGTGTAAGGGATGAGATAACAAGTTTTTGGCGTTTGGAAGAAGCAAAAACATCATCGGTGGCCATACACGAGTGAAGCATAAGGCGGCCAAGTTTAAGACAATTAGATAAAACCCATTGAAGCAGAGGTCCATCTACAACCACCTTTGTCAAGTAAAGAGATACAAGACTAGTATTCAAGACAAAAGTCGGGTTCTTAAAAATGGGGATCGTAGGAAGAGTTCCCATGTGCAACTCCAGATTTCGAACCTTTTTAGTACAGGCGAATTCGAGCCACTTATCAATATTAGAAGCATATATTTTATCACCAAAAGGAATAGAAAAATGCATTCTGAAGGTGTTAAGATACTGAGCTTGATTTGCTCTGATAACCTGGTTAACCCAATCAGCATAATTACCCGCTTCGGAATTCTCATACGGCTTAGTAATTGCAATGGCTAGCCTTGGAGGATCTTCGAAATCTAGGTCCGTGATATAAGTCCATACATGTCTCCACCTTTTCGAAAGAAGGCTAGTTCTTGCTGCTGCTTTAATTCCTACAAAAGATAGCAAGTATACCAGTATATCATCAGGTAAGCTGCTAATCAAATCCACTTTGTCACTCTGATCACCTTCAAGATTTTTGTTGTTCCTCTGCCAAAAAGAAAATATATATACAGCATGGAATCAAAATTGTATGATCGAATATTACAAAGTTGTATTAAAAGAAATAAATGTTAAAGTAGACACAACTTACTCTTCTCTTATAGCACTTGTGAATGGTGGTAGTCTTATGTTGAAACATATCTCGGAGGCATGTCCAAGCATCCATGGCAGTAGTAAAATTATTATCAAGAAGAGTGATGAGTAAATCAGTGGAGATAGTGGCGTAAATCCAAGAGAGGACGACAGCATCAAGTCGAGCCCAAAGAGTGGTGTCAGTAATAATGTGTGAAGGAGTAGGAATGGTGGAGTCGATGTGATCAAGAACATTGTAGGCACGGGCCGTGACACGGAAAAGGGTAGACCAACGACTATATAAAATATTTTTGGTATGAAGAACAAGAGGAATGAGGTTCTTAATGTTGGACACATGAAGTGCAGGGTGAATAAATTCACAGCAAGTTTGACAAGCGCAGTTTTTCTCCATGCCTCAGTTTGTAGAGCACTGCCAACAGTAGCGTATCATCAAAGTTCAAATCAACAATAATGATAGAGAAACTAGATATATTATCTCTTGATATTATCTTCTCCATATTTGAGGAGATAGCAAGTTATCCCTACAAATATGGAGAAGATAATATCAAAGAGATATTATCTAGTATCTCTATCAAATAATGCCTTAGTTCATGGTACTTAAATTTTAAAATAGATAACAAACTTAGGGCGTACATGTGCAATTTTTGGTTTTTCAAAAAAACAATTATACTCCAAGACCTTCTATATTCTCATTTAAAGATGGCAGGAAACCCACCTCCTAATCTTCAACAGTTGGCAGAGACCATTGGGCAGAGACAACGCCGTCTATTGGAGGCATTTGTCGCGTGGGAGAGAAGGGTTGGCGACACTCAGGCTATGGCAAGAATTCGAACAATGTTTTTACTGGAGATACGGAAGGCCGAAGTGCTTGACGTCGTCGATTTGGCAACAGCTCGTTGGGCAAGACGACTTGTGGATGAATATAATTGGGGCGGGAGGTTTGTTTTGCACATTCCAGATGATGTTACCTTGGAGGTTGCGGGACAGATTAACGACGTAATGCAAGACTTGCTATATGAACACGCAGCAGAGTAAAACCATAATTCTTCTTTTAATTCTTGATCAATGTTATACTAGACAGTAGGCTCTACGGAGTAGACTCTAATTTCTACGTACAAAAGTTAGCTAGATTAATTTTTTTTAGTAATTCTTTTTAGTCATTATGAGATTTGATCCTGAGAAGTGCTTACATTAGAAATAATTATAAGCTGTGACTTTATGTGTAGTTAATTTTGATCATGGATATACTTTGATTAAGTTAGATTAAATTTTGATCTTACTCCATTATTATTAGGGAATCAATTCAATTCAATATAAATTCAATAATTTCTATTCAAGTCACTTAAGTGAAAAATTATACGGAGCAGTTTATTTCAAATTATTCATTTGCATTCACTTCAACTTAATCAGTTCGATTCGGTTTAGTTTAGATAACGTACTGGTTCAATTCGCAATGCCGGAGCTAGGAATTTATGGGTGAGCGGGGCAAAACTTAATATAGATGGGTGAAAATGATAATAGAGGAGGGGAAAAAACCAACAAAATTTGGTTGTATAAGGTTTTGAACCCACAAGAACTCATGTTTCATATCTCTCTCAAAGTACGTATATGCATACAGTCCAATGACTAATACGGTCTAATGACGTTTCATGTAAATTTAGCATATTTGATTTAAAGAAAAATAGGAAAATTATATACATAGTACTCAGGACTACATATAAAATGCTAAGAGTAGAAAAATAAATAATATAACATTCATGACATCGATCTATTATAATAAATTTACATTACATGGTTTTAAACTTTCAATGAATACATTACGGGGAAATAGACAATAATCAGATGGAGAAATTACTTGATAGTTTACAAGAACTCATGTTGCATTTTATTATTGTAGTGCAATGACAATCAATGAAATCGCCACGTAAGATTAATAATTTTAAAAACGCTACAATAGGATTATGCCACGTAAGATTAATTTTAGAGCGTCACATAGGAAAATGTTATATTTTAGCCAATGAAAAAAAAGAAAGAATTGTAATTTATTTTAGATCAAAAATTTTATATTAATTATAAAAATAAAATCAGCACGTTTTTTGTGTGGCTGGCCATATCATAAATTCAAGTTTATTAGATAAATATATATATTTAGTAAAATATTTTATTTGAAAAAATACAAACAAACCATGCATCGCACGGGCTTTTTAGAGCGTTACGTAGGATTTTAATTTTTTAAAAGTTATTAGAGCGCCACTTAGGATTAATATTTTTAAAACGCTACAATAGAATTTTGCCACTTAAGATTAGTTTTTTTTTAAAAGCGCTACGTAGGATTATAATAAAAAAATAAAAAATCGCCACATAGGATTAATTATTTAAAAACGCTACAATAAGATTATGCCACATGAGTTTAATTTTAGAGCGTCACATTAGATAGTGCTATATTTTAGCCAACAAAAAAAGAATAACAATTTATTTTAGATCAAAAATTTTATATTAATTATAAAAATAAAATCAGCGCGTTTTTTGTGTGGCCGGCCATATCGCGTGGCCGACTGAGACACACCCCAAACATTGACCGAGTAAACCCTGACCGTCCGAGTAACCCCTGGTCGATTGAGTAACCCTTGACCAACCAAGTAATCCCGATCACACGGTATAACCAGCCACATATAAAACTTTGTAAAATAAAATATTATCTTTTTATATTACAAATTTTATCTAAATATGAGAAACAAAGCTAATAATTCATTTTATAATAAAAAATTCAAGTATTGAGCAAGCGAATATCACAAACTTTATTATATAAATATATATTAGTAAAATATTTTATTTGAAAAAAACAAACAAACCATACATTGTAGGGCTTCATCTAGTTTGTTATAAAGAAGTCTACTAAGCTTTGCCCAAGTTTTTACCACAGTTCATTATTTATAACTCGTGCAAAAGTACAAGAAAGAGCATAATAATGGTACGTTGACAGTAACGGTAATTATGTAGTGTAATAGGCATCAATTGAATAAACCGATCATCTAATGTATTACACTTAACAATTACCTGAAGCTAAGAGTTTAGCACGCAAAGATATTTCAAAAAAATTGCAATTCGTATAAGTATAATTTTGTTAGATAAATTTGACATATGATTGAGTATTATAACTTGATTTTGATTTCTTCTTACACTAGCTAGAGCGACATTGGGAACTATTGTATTTCCCCATCCTCCAAAATTTTATGAGGGACCTAATCATATAAAATCAATTATGCGACTCCAACCATCTCAATTTAAGCTTTTATTTGGTTGAATAATATAAGGATTTATATTACCACGTATTTAATTATTTATCATTCATAAGTACATACAATATAAACCATTAATTTAAGGGTAATTATCACTGCTACACTCCAGCTTCTGACTTTTATCTTTGATACACCTCATCAATTATTCTTTATCAGTGGTACACCCAAGGTTTCACACAGTTATCAGCGATACACCTACTGTTCCCTTTCCGTTAAAAAAAAGTTAGTTTTGGCTTTTTTTCGATTGTTTACCTTAAAAAACTGACACGTGGCGGCCTGTGATTGGTCCAAAAAATAGAATTAAAAAAAAGTTAAAAAAATCAATTAATTAATTTTTTTTTTAAATCTTAAATTAAAAAAAAAACCCACCTCTTTCCTACTTTTTTTCCTACCTCCTTCCTTTCTCTTTCCTCCATCCTTCCTCCTCCTCCATAACTTCCGGCAGCCCACCCAAACATCCCACCCCCCTCTGACCACCCCTCTCCTTCTCTTTCCTCCTTCCTTTCTCTTTCCTCTTCCCTTCCACCACCATAAATTCCAGCAACAAGTAATTAAATCCGGCAGCCCCTGGAAATCCTGTTGAAACCCCAACCTCTAAAACCCGAAACCCCCTTAAACACCCAACCTTGAACCTGAAACCCCCTAAAACACCCACCCTTGAACCCGAAACCCCTTGAAACACCCACCCTTGAACCCTACACCCTCCAAAACCCCCACCAAAGAAACTGATACACCTCGAAACCCCCGCCATTGAAGCCAATACACCCTGAAACCCCCACCATTAATGCCGGTACACCCCGAAACCCCCACCCTTCCCACCACAGCCATTGAAGTCAAGTTGTGGGGCTTTTGAGGTTTGTGGTGGTGGTGGTGATGGTGGTGGTGGTGGGTGTGGCGCCATAGTGTTGTTGCACTACTACATTTCTGATCTATTGCAACCCCCAAATCTGTTGCATTAGGCGTCAAAATCCGTGGCATTAGGCCTAATGCAACGGTCATGTACCGTGGCATCTGTTGGCGTTGCAGTAGCCAGGTCTAATGCAACGGCATATGACACCTAATGCCACGGCACCAATGATCTGTGGCAATAGACCAATACCTGTTGCAACAGCATAACTTATCCGTGGCAATAGAGTACTGACTAATAATTATGATGAAATTGAACCTATTGCAACAGATGAAGCTAATTAATACAATGACAGGAGAACGTATCTACTGCAACGGATTGATCATTTTTTTTTTTGTTGGGATGGGATGGTAATATAATATATGTATAATTAGTCAGTACAAATTAAAATATGCTAACAGAAACAAATTAAAGTATCATTTATATATAATAATTATAATGCGAAATACGTACATTATTGCCCTTAAAGGGAAAAGTTACAAAATCAAATTTCACTAATTAAATTAATTGAGAAAACTACAACGACTACAATCTTTGAGAGGCAAGCGACCAACATCAGCAGGTGAACAGCAGCAGTAGAGACCAGCAACACAGCAAGCTGTCCCAACAGCAACAAGCTTAGCAGAACACTATATAGATAAGTACTACAGTACAAGACACAATCCAACAACCATATACAGAGCTAAACACACATCCTACATCAATGAGCAACACTATCCATAAACACACAATACATTTATACCCTGAAAACTTACCAGCTGTAATAATACAAGCAGAAGAGCTGCGTGAATATAAACTAAACCAGCACCTGACTCTCAAGAACTCTAAACCTGCAGACCACTTTAAACAATTAATTTACTTCATTTGAAACCGGAAGTTAATGAAAACCAAACTTCCAGAATAGATACTTTCTACTATAACACAGAAGGCACTGAACTTACCAAAGAAATCACAAGCAGCTTGACTACTTGCCAAAACTAAGCACTCAGATTCTCTGCATACATATATAGAGAAAGAGATATGAGAACACCCAAACCCTATTTTCCCTCAATGTTCCATATATATAATAGTACTATTTTAAACAAAAAAGTAACCAAACAAGTACATTAAGACAATTCATATCACTATACACCTTACACCACAAGTAATCTCAAGTACAAGGCCACTTTTGTAAACCATCATTTTTTTCATTTTTTAACATGTCCATCAGCATGAAAACTTGAAATTTGGAATACAAAATCAAATTTTAAGTAAGTGATATAGAGCCCTTTAAAAAAAATAAGTAAGCAATTCAGAGATAAACAAGAAGATAATCAAGGATTCAAGCAAAAATTATATCAGCCGAAAAGCTCATAAAATGAACTATAATTAGATATGAATTCAGGTAATAAATCAAAAGAGTGGGTGGAAAATAAAAAAATTAAGCAATAAGTCAAATTAAACAGAGACCTCAACTGAAAAATGAAAAACAATTCAACAAAATATAGGTTTATTTGTGTGTCACAAATGGGAGAATTACTCTTCCATTTCTTGGAAAGTTCTGAGGTTCGTCAATGGCGCCTGCAAAGCTCTGGAAAGAATTGCTCCATGACAGAGATAGAATACCTACCTTAACCACAAGGTCCACAAGTTGGTGATGTTGGTTTAAGATAGAATTTTTAGAATGTCAGCTACTTTCAGCAATTTATTCCACACCTTACATGTAATGATATAAACGTGCTTTTAATTACTAAGCGCTCAAGATTGAAAAAAGAATTTGTACCTCACAAGCCTAAAATAAGCCTAAAAAACAAGTGTCTGGCTACCTTATCATTCAAAACAAGACAATCATCCTTCACCATGAATTCCCTAGCTACTTTCTGCATATATATTTCAGAAGCTTCTTTATTGCCTCTATGTTTAATCAGAAGCAGAATAGAAAAAATATTAATAAATCTTTGGCTTTTAGCTAAATAAGAGGAATAAATACGAACTCAACCTCAAAAATCACATTAAAACGCAAACTCCAACCACAACTCAACAAGCTCCTCAAACCAGCTAGCACAATATGAAAATAAGTTGAAAATTGAAACTGACTTTCTGAGGTGGGCTACAGTGGTAGTTGAGAGTGAGAATGCGAGTTAAGACTTAAGAGTGTTGAGTGAGAGTGAGAGTGAGAGTGGTGGCCATGTATATCTCATATTTACAGCATTAGTGAATGTACATACAAGTCACAAAAACTAGATAAGTTTGACAAGTAGATCAAAATAAATGGTTGTTAACCTTATTACGGAGTAGCTCTTTGGTTTTCATTTATAAAATCAGTTGTTCCAACCTTTTCTTGCTCTGCACAGACATTTTGAACATCCACGTTCTCCATGATATCTATACATAAAGATTTATCTCAAAGACTAATGAAACTGCAGACTTGTTGCCCTACTTACAATATAACATTGTAAAGCTTTTGATGACAGAAATATATGAATAAACTTTGTCAAGTGACTTGCTGCATATTCTCTCAATCACATATCAAATGATGACGAAATTTCATTGGCGTGATTCGAAGGGAGGTAATTAGGGTGATACTGAGATCACAAGCAAATAACTAATGCTTAGAGAAGCAATGACAAGTAAATGATAAATATGTACATTAGTAAGGGTGACCTTGATGCTGTCTATAATGTGAGCATATCGCTGGCTAACACACCCCATGAGTTATCAATCAATGTACAACTTTCACAAGCAATTAGTGGCCTGGAAACCTGACATTAAGCCAAAGGAGTTTAGTGAATCAAACTTATTATTGACAGGTTTAGATAATGCTCACAATTAAATATGCTAATACATTTGTATCCAATACATGAAAATTTATACCTAATTTAGTATGCATCAGGTCAGTTATGTTGAGGCTTGAGAGAAACTCATACAGCTCTGGAAATGGTTTGAAATCCGGGCAAAAAAAGAGAAATAGGTTTAGAGTCACCACTTAACATTCATTGTAAATTAATTATCGACCAATTGCAATAATCTAGAAAAACACAAGTAATTTACCTCAGAAGCATGTTCAAGCGATTAGCATTACCACTTTCAAATCTAAATTATATTGAGAATAATCATTGAGAATAATTATTAGCGGTATTAAGAATAACAGGTGATTAGAAAATTGAAAAAGTATTATGTGAATTAATGTCATACCACACAAGTTTTGAGAACTACAACATTTTTCATTATAAGAAAACTTAAAGGAGTTATTTTTGCTTCTTCTTCCCAATTGCCCTCTCCAACAATTTAAACCATAGAAAACTATTACGGTGTTCAAATTTTGATTGAAAAACACAGAAAAATGTAAAATTGCACCAACAAATTTAAACACTTGAGCAGTATAAAATAAAAAAAAAAAACAAAGAGGTGAATTTGAATCTAGGGTTTTAATTTCTGGCGAAAACTTACATTTTGGAAAGCTGAAAACCAGTAGAGACCGAGGGACGCCATCAGATCAAAGGATACACAAATCGCTGGTCGAAAATATGAAATGGACCGTCCTCGGCAGGTATATTATCTCCGGCATTGCTGCTACCGTAAAATGTCGTTCCTCTGGCTAGCTGACGCCTGACGGTGGTTGAGGAATCTATTTCTAGCTACTTTCTCACATCTCTTTCTTTATCACTCCTCTAATTCAAATGCTGCTCGTAATTTTCGAATTTCGATTTTGTAAATTTGGGTGAGAAAGAGAACCAATTTTTATTTCTTTTTCTTTTTACAGCTTTTTTTTGTTTTTTTTTTTTCTGAGGAAGATAACAGCTAGATGATTATGATTATTACTCATATGAACTATGAAGGATAGATAAATTGGATGGGCCTTAAATTGGGTGGGTTTAAGAAAATGTGAAGGCTTTTTAATTCTGGGGAAAATTTAGGAGAATATTTTTACGTGCCTATAATTTCATGATTAGATTTCCCTATTGCAACGGCTACCTCTTAGCCGTTGCATTAGACCCTTCTATTGAGAAAGTATGAAGCAGCCGTTGCGATAGATCTAGCTATTGCCACGGTTACTTATGTAGCCGTTGCATTAGCCTTATTTTAGCCGTTGTATTTGATTAAAAATGTAGTAGTGTTGGCCTAGGTGGTGGAAGGGGTTGGAGGAAGGCCATGGAAGGGAGATGAGGGAGAAAGAAGGTTTTTTTTTTTCTTTTTTTTTTAGAAATAAGTTAAAAATAGTTAATTAATTTTTTTTAAGTTAAAAAATCGGGAAAATGCCAAAACTAGCGTTTTATCCCATAAGCTTAGTTTGGTAAATAGTTTGACCACGCGTCTATTTTAAAAATTAGTTTGTGAAATAGGCTTAGTTTGGTAAAACACCCCAATACATTTAGGCGGGAAATTTTTGTTATACTGGTTTGTGTTGAAAAAAAGAGTGAAATAATAATGAATTATACTCTCGTTTTGTCGTACAGAGTTCTTTTTCCGTTCCAATAATATTGCAACAAGGATGAAATTACGCATTCTAAAACACATTTTATTTGTTAAATATCTATAATTGTATAAGAATAAAAACTATAAAAATTTGATATTGTGAAAGTATTTTGAGCCGAATGTAAGAAAATTCCACATGACTATATTTTGATTAACATATAAATCATATTATTTGGTCAAATAAAAATGATAAATACTGCAAACATTCAATTGTTGCAATATTATTGAAACGGAGGAAGTATTATTTTTGTGATAAGAGAATTACTTTTTAATCTCAAGGGGTAGTTATTACTCACTCAAAAATTTAAACCCGAGGGAGGCGAGGGAACTTCGCGATAATGCATGCCAAATGGTCACCAACCTTAAGTTGTATATTTGTATGTAATCCAAAATGATAGATTGTGCCTAAATTAATAAAATAATACCTTCGTTTAAAAAAAAAAACACTTGAAATCTTGACATTATTCAATTTATAAGATGAAAGAATCTTTAAGTTACTCTTAATACTGCGTACTATATAAAATATTCTGTATAATTTAGTCATGTTGGGTATTGTATTCGTTTCAATTAGTAGTTTATTACAATTCAGTTATTATATGTTTTACTAATATATAATTAAAAATATTTATGGTCAAATTTATGTGTTAACAAACGTATATATTCAAAGTGGGAAGATTATTTTAAAATGAAAAAAGAGATGAGGCTAAACTTTATTTCTTACTTTGTTTTTATAGTTTTTAAATATAGAATAAAATGCTTTAATCGAGAGCCGCCCATGAAAATGTAACATATCTTGCATTTTTTTTTTTTTTTTTTTTTTTTTTTTTTTGAGTATCTTGCATTATTTAACTACTATTGTCACAACTTGGAATATCTATTCGTCAAAAAAAAAAAATTATTGTGAAAATCGATTGCAAATTGCAATGCATGTGACAACTTGGAATAAAATTTAACGAACTTTTATTATTTTATGGTCTTCTTACGTACTTAGGACCTTCTATAAATAGCCTAACCATGAACTCATATTTGTATATCTTAGCTTATATCAATCCTATTATATATTTTTCCACTTAAAAGAAATTTGAAGTACTTATTATCAAGGTACCATGGCAGCTACCACAAAGAGCGTTGTTGATGTAGATTATCTGAAACAAATTGAGGGTGCTCGTAAAGATCTTCATGATCTTCTTCAGAAGAACAAGAAGTTCTCTCCCATTCTGCTTCGCTTAGCGTAATAATCTTTCTTCTCTTTTCTCCCCTAATATATACTTATTTCTTATACTCCGTAATATTAATCAGTCAAATATATATACTCCGTACTTATTTTGCATGGATGAATGCATACTAGTTTGGTTGAGAAATTATATTATGAAATGGTATATGATAGGATAAGTCGAGGATTGCATTATTGTTGAACACTCAACACCTTGTGTTTGTGTTATTACACATTTGCGTAGTTCATGTTATATTGTTTAACTAATCTCAAATGTAGTCCTCTTTTTTTTTTTTTTTTGGGTCTTTTGTCTTAATGTATAAGTACTAGAAAAAGAATTGATATCTATGTCCTTAATTACCAAATGAAACAATAAGTTACCATTATCCCTTATAATTTGATTGATTTAAAATATGGAGTGCTAGTACGTAATAATTATAAATAAAACTTTTGGGCACGCTTTTAATTGATATGGGTAAATTATATGTCTCAAAATAAGCGATAAACTAACCCATCTTGAATAAGACCCCTAATTTGGTTCTTGTGTTGTAGATTTCATGATGCAGGTACTTATGACGCTAAAACGAAGACAGGGGGTCCAAATGGTTCAATTAGACGTGAGTTGAGCAACCCTTCCAACAATGGTCTCAAAGTTGCTATTGATTTTTGCGGTGAGTAGTCAAGCATACAATAACCTAAATACTCCATACACAGAATGCTATCTTTTTTTTTTTTTTTTTTTGTAAGAAGAAGGAGCTCATTTGGAAATTTCTCAAATGAGTCCCTTAAAGTTTGTTCCCGAGACGTTTGGAATATGAGGTGGGGACACTGGGGAGTGATCCACCACTTCAACCTCAGCTCATATAAAATGCTACTTGTGTGGATGTATGCATTTACCTTATATGATTGACTTATTGACATGTACGTTTTCTTACTTTCTTAGAACAAGTGAAATCTAAATACCCCAAGGTTACTTATGCTGACTTTTACCAGGTAAAATTTCTTAATGACTACAATTTATAAATTTAAAACTTGATGTATCTCCCTCTCCGTCTCCAAATATTTGTTATTTGAATTGTAACGGGCGTGCATATAGTACAATTCACTTATCATTAGTTTTATTGTTGTTGATATTAGCTTGCTGGTGTCCTCGCGATTGAAGTAACCGGAGGACCTAAAATCCCCTTTACTCCAGGTCGTCCTGTAAGTATTACGACATGGAACATCAACTTTTAATTTTAAAAATGATTATATTATCTTGTGACCATTTTTTTTTGTTTTATCCATATTATTACTATTATCTCACCGTACAATTTAATATTGTGACTTTTCCCTACATAGGATTCTAGGGATCAACAAGATGGTGGTGCTCTTCCAAATCCTAATGGAGGTACATATCAAAACTAGTTCATCATCTTTATACTAGTTCTAGAGTCTAGACTATTAAAGTATATATAAATATTGCTTTAATTCAAAGGTCATTAAATCAAACCTCACTAAATCACTAATACATGTCGATTCAATAAATCCATTGTTCTAGCAAAAAATGTGAATTGAAGTAATCGAAGTTTACTACGTATATTCTATTGGGATTTAAATCCTCTGTCCCACGTTTTATGTCCCATATGTATCCCATTTAATTTGATTGGTTGATAAATTCATAGTGGCCCACTTGTCAAAATTGAAGAATCAAAAATATAATTTAAGGGCCAATTAAAATGAATGGAACACAAATGGCACACAAAATGTGGGACAGAAGATTCTTTCCCATTATATTGTGGACTATATAGAGTATACACTTAACTTATATGTTAAGATCAGATCTCAATCCCTTTTTTATTTTTTTTTTCCTTTTACATATAAATTTTTATAATACATCATATTTGTTGTGAGTTTGTGACTATTAAACGCAATTTATAAATGTCTTTTTTTCTTGTCAGATGCCAAACATCTAAGAGATGTATTTAATCGAATGGGTTTTAAGGATAGGGATATCGTGGTCTTATCGGGGGCTCACACATTGGTATGCCAATTCCTACACCTTTTAGTTCATTCGGCTCATACAAGTATAAGACTATACATATACAAAATACGTTTTTTTTTTTTTTCTATATAATTTTTTGAGAAATTTATTAATTCACTATTTAGTTAGTTTTTTCTCTTTGCAAATAGCTTAAACTTTAAAGTTTAATTTCATCTAGCCTTCTCATACTCTTTTTTTTTTGTCTTCGTCCTCTACTTCTTCATTTCATTCTCAACAATTAATCTCCATACAAAAGTCTGACTTACATATAGTTTTTACATGAGATGAAGAGAACATTTAACTATTTAATTCCTACATACTATAACTAGTTCAGGCAATTTTAAACCTTATGTTGTACGTATTTAATCACAGGGCCGAGCAAACAGAGATAGATCTGGCTTTGATGGTCCTTTCACGGAGGAACCTTTCAAATTCGACAATTCCTATTTTGTGTAAGATTATACGTATTATATTACAAGAATTAATTAGTTCCAATTACAGCAATATTTTGATTGCTTAATTTAAGTTATACTCATAAGGTTTTTACTAAATTTATGTCAGAAACTTGAGGAAGGCTGACAAACCTGGATTGGTGAAGTTTCCCACGGACAAAGTTCTCGTCGAGGACCCTGCTTTTAATAAATATGTTCAGCTATATGCCAAGGTAATACACTCTCATAAACAACATTAATTGTTAGATTTGTTTCAATTTCGTCGTGGTAGTGTAGTTTTGAGTTGAGCTGAACTGAACTGAAATAAGTCCAAAAGTTAGTTGATCAATATAGTATGATACTTGGTAATTTGTCAAATGAGCTGATCAAGATTAATTTGTTTAACAATGGCACGCAGGATGAAAAAGCTTTCTTTGCGCACTATGCTGAATCACACAAGAAGATGTCGGAGCTCGGGTTTCACCCACCCAGCCCTGGTGCCAAAGCTTGAAGTCATTGCATATTCATGCATGATAACCTAATAAGCTAGACTGATATCAGTGATATGTATTATGGGTCAATGTTCCTATATGTAGTGCTATGGTTTGTATGTATCCTTAATTAATTGTGATGATGTTGTATTTGAGATTAAGCTTGAATAATTCTCTTAAGTTGTACTAGTATTATGTACTGCTACTATCTTAATCGTTGGTTGGTACACCCAGGTGTAGCATGCGCATGGTACACCCGGATCAAAACTTGTTTAAAAAAAAAACGGAAAGAACGTAACTTATATTTGTAATGAACATCACGACTTTATAAAAGAACACAACATTGAAATATAAAGAACGTGATAATTTTGGTGAAACAGTTTTTTTAAAAAAGTAAATGATACAGAGTAATTACCAATTGATTTTTACCACGTATTTAATTTTAAATCTTCAAAATATTTAGTTTTCTATAATTTATCTCTCTAAAATTATTTTTGTCAAGATTTCATTTCAAATTTTAAAATTTGAAATTCATTTTCAAAATTTCAAATTCCAATAGTATTTTTTTTCTTCTCTCTTTTTTTTTTAAAAAAAAAAATCTCTAAATAACCAATTATATATTTTTATATTAGATTAAACTCGTGCGTTGCACGATTTAAATAATTTTATTATCATGCAATATATATATATATATTTCATTTGTGTAAAAATAGAGTGACAATTTTTTTTTGTTTGAAAAATATATAGTGTAGATTAAAAAAATTAATAATTGATGTCATCACACATAGAAATAGAAGAAATTTTTTTAATGTGAGAATGACACGTAGGATAGTTTAAGGATTGATGATGTCAGCAATGTTTTGTTTTAGTAATAGTTAATAGATTTTGTTATAATATTCATCTTGGTCATGTGTATTTATTTATACATGGTAGCATGTACAGATGTACTAGGATGTACTACTATTAATTAATGCTAATTATAACTCCTAATTAGTTACAAAGTGTGTTATTTGAGATTTCGTTTTTTTTTTCTTAATTGAATTGGTGCAATCCCAACCTATTGTATACACAGTATAGAATTGTTTGGAACAACTTATTAGCATAGCATGCAATATGTTGCTGGAGAGTGGAGACAGTCAAACGGAAGAGATCAGAGAAAAGTCTAGAAACATAACAATAGTGACTAGCCAGCGTAACGTTTTATCATATATTCGACAAAATGATAATAAAAGGATTAGACACTTAAATAAATAATAAACACTATGGTAGGTTTATTTGATATTGATACGAGAGTTTGAGACAACATAATACTTAGGCGGCTTTGTTTCTTAACACATTTTAGGCACCTGAAATGATAAAAGTGCTGTAATTTTAAGATAATACAAAATGAGTTTTATCATACATAGGCCACGAACATCGTTCTTACAATCCAATATACCATGTTAGATTTAAATTTAAGAGAATAGGAAATGAGCTTGGATAACTCAAATAAAGTCAAGGAGAGTTCAGTCCAATTATAAGCACAATTATACTAAAATTAATTGGTGATACTATGAGTAGTGATTCCCTCTACCTTTAAAGCGGTATTTTCTTTTTCCAATGTGAAATAACTCACAAGTTGATTTCGAATGGGGTTTCAACAAGTTGTATTTCAATTTTGAGAGCATATTGTTGAATTATTTAGAGTATTGGTGACAAATATTCATGTGTTTGATTGAATTTCTTAGGTTAAGGTGTTGAAATTCAATTAAACAAGTAAAAGAGCAATTTGTATCTATCTCAGTTTAGAGAAGTGTTCCTCTGCCCGGTGGCGCGCCCGGCAAGTCGAGCCACCACCCGGTAAGGCGCGAGAGCGAAGAAAAATTAAACGATGTCACCGCCCGGCAGGGCGCGAGAGCACCCAAATTTTTCCGGGTTGCTTGGTTTCTTTCGCCCGGTATGGCGCGGGTGTAAGCCTGGGCAATTTTGACGGTTATTCTTCAGTTTGCTTGGTTTATTTCTCTTGATATAAATACGATAGTTCATATTGATGAAATGTACTTCAAGAAATCAGTTTATTCTCATTCTCTTGAAATCTTTTGCAAGTTATTGTTCATCATCACAAATCACAAAAGCTTATTTACATTGTATTGTAATCATCCTACTTGTGATTGCAATTGACCTTCGTTGTATGTATCTTCTGAGTAAATTTCCGTGATACCCGATCGTAGTATAGGGTCGGAATTATACTTTTGTGAAAGTGATCCTGCTCACGCCTCGAAAAATTTTCCGTTAATTTTGTTTGGTTTTCTTTGTAACCCTTGTTTAAACACCAAATCCCCAATAATCCAAAAGTATAATCTACTACAAAGATGGCAAATGTGAAGAAAATGATGACAAATTTCCAGAAATTGGACAAGTTCGAGGGTATGGATTTTCGAAGGTGGCAAAAAAAGATGCATTTTCTGTTGACATCACTCGGGTGGCTTATGTTCTCACAACCCCGAAGCCATCAGTGGAGGAAAATGAGACATTGGAGGCTACTAGAAAGAGGAACAAGTGGGAGAATGACAACTACATATGTTGTGGTCACATCCTAAACGGTATGTCTTATGAATTGTTTGATGTTTATTAATTTCATGAGTCCGCTAAATTGCTTTGGGATGAGCTAGAGTCTAAATACATGGCCGAGGATGCATCTAGGAAGAAATTTCTTGTTAGTAAGTTCAATAATTTCAAAATGATTGATAGTAGGCCGGTAATGGAACAATTTCATGAAATCCAAAGAATTTTAGGGAGTTTTAGGCAACACAATATTAACCTTGATGAGACCTTCATTGTTTCTTCTATAATTGATAAACTACCATCATCTTGGAAATATTTTGGAGATGCATTAAAGAATAAGAAAGATGACATTAATCTTGAGGGCTTGGCTTCTCTTATTCGGATTGAGGAAGAAATCCGGGTGAAAGAGGGACAAAACACTACTAGAAACAGGCCGATTTCCGATGGACCATTTCCGACGGACATGTTTTCCGTCGGAAATTTACGACGGATTTTTATTCCGCCGGAAATTTACGACGGATTTCCTACGGAATAAAAATTCGTTGAAATTTATGGGCCTTCCGACGGATTATTTCGTCGGAACCGTAATGTTTCGATGGAAATAAAATCCGTCGGAGATTTCCGACGGAATACAATTATTTTCCGGCGGAAAATAAATCCGTCGGAATATTGATTTTCCGACGGAATATTCCGTCGGAATATAATAAAATAATAAAAAAAAACTAACCCTAAAAACCCTTAAAAAACCCGGTTCTCCTCCCCCCCCCTTTTATTTCCCATTTCTCTCTCCTCATCTGCCCGCCTCCATCTCTTCTCCTCTCTCTCTCTCTCCTCATTTCTCTTCTCCTTCCTCCTGCTCCTTTTCTCTTCTCTCTTTTCATTCTTTTTATTTTCCTCCTCCTCTTTTTCTCTTCTCTCTCCGCATCCCTCACCGGCCTATCACCGAGCATAGCAACAGGTATTTTCTCTCTCATGTCCTCTCTCAAGCCTATCACCGGCCATAGCAACACCGAGCAACACCGAGTAACCACCGTCGCGAGGCACTGCACTAGTCTCAAGGTTTTTTTTAGATCTTGTAATTTAGGTATGGAATTGTAATATTAGTTTATAAAATTGTATATTAATTTATTTCTTTAAATTTTCGTTTGTTAATTATCGTTTTTGTTAATTTTTTTATTGAAATTTTGATTAATATGTAGATCTGGTTTTTTTTTTTTTTTTGTGCTAAAATTTTATTATGTTGTTCGTATTTTTGGGGTTAATTTTCGGTTTTTTGGGGTTAATTTTGGTTTTTACTGAATTTTTGGAATGGTGGTGGTGTGTGGTGGTGTCGGTGGTGGTGGGGTAGGGGGGCAGGGGGTGGGCTAGTGGTAGGGGTGGTGGCTGGATAGGGTGGTTGGGGTGGTGCTAGGTTTTTTTTTTATTTTTTATTTTTTTTAATCCTCTTTCCGACGGAATTCCCGTCGGAAGTTTCTGGCGAATTTGTATTCCGTCGGAAATTTCCAACGGACTTTCCGGTGACCGGAATTCCTCTTCCGACGACGAAATTCCGTCGAAACTTTTATCGGAACAGTGATTTCCAACGGAAAAGGCCGTTTTTCCAACAAAAGTTTTCCGACAATCCGTACCGACGGAAATTCCGTCGGAAACGGCCTTTTCCGACGGATTTCAGGGTGTTTCCGACGGAATTTTGCCGTCGGAAATGGCCTGTTTTCTAGTAGTGAAAGGGATGTCAGTCCTAGTTCCACTACGGTAAATGTGGTGGAGGATGCTAAGCCTAATGAGAGGAAGAGAGGAAATGACTCAAACACGAACAAAGGCAAAAAGCCTAAAGTCGGAAGTGGTGGTCAAACATCACGAGCTTGTTGGGTCTGTGGAAAACCCGGACATTTTAAGAAAGATTATACCATTTGGAAGAAAAAGATGAGCAACAATAAAGCTCAAGGTAGGAAAGGCGGTTCTAGCCAATCCCAAGACAAGCAAGGTAATTCTTGTGCACAAATTTCATTTAATTCTTTAATGAATTATTTGTATGTGATTTTTGAAATCCTATGTGTGCAGGGTGATACTTCTTAGAACATTGATTCGGGTGCATCGAGGCATGTTTGCAAGGAACGTTCGTTGTTTAAATCCTTCGTTGAGGTGACCAATGGAAATATTCTTTACATGGGGAACGACTCCATCGCAAAAGTGCTAAGCAAGGGGCAAGTTGAGTTAATGTTTAGCTCAGGCAAATCTCTTATTTTAAGGGATGTGTTGTATTCTCCCGGGCTTAGGAGGAATTTAGTGTCCAGTGCTATCTTGAATCGTCTAGGTTTTAGAATGGTGTTTGAGTAAGATAAATTTATATTATCTAAAGGTGGTTACTTGTGTGATGGAATGTTTAAGCTTAGTATTTCTAATGCTTTGAAAGACAATGAGTATGTTGTTAATGATTGCTCTTCTCTATGGCATGTAAGATTGGACATGTTAATTATAAAAAGTTGTATTTTATGTCAAAGCATGATTTAACTCCGTCTTTTGATCCAAGGATAGACAAGTGTAGGACATGCATGTTAACAAAAATCACAAGAAAATTATTTCCTAATATTGTAGAAAAGAACAATGCATTGCTTGATTTAGTGCATAGTGATCTATGTGATTTTCATAGCACACCTTCTTTAGACAACAAAAAGTATTTAGC